TTTAATATGCTTATATGTATGTATGTATGTGCGCACATTAAATGGCAGCAGCTGTCCTTTATCTGCTTACCTAGCCACCACGAAATTCTTTACTCGTACACCACCCTTTATGAGGAAGCAGCCTTTGAATATACAATAAAAATATAAAATAAAACAGGGTATACTACCCTGTAGAGTTGCCAAGTTTCATCATTTGTGGGAAGTTTGAAATAATTGATATATGCGCAGTATATAATATAAAAATATAATTATAAACAGTAAAACTATAGATTTCTAATTTGCAAAAAACCCTTAAACATGAAGGGTCTACCAGCAAGACTGACTTGATGTTAAAATAAAAAAAAATCGTAAACCTTTGTTTTAATATCACTCATACTTATAAAAAAATATAGAGGGGATCGCATGATCTTGCGGCTATTTTACACTGCGAAATTAACGAGTCGCCAAACTTTGCACACAATTTTTCCATGTTTAGACGGAAAACTTGAGACGACGACCCGTTATAGGAAATAGAGATCCTTCGTCGAATTTCGAAAAAAAGCGTGTTTAAAATCGTGTTATAATGATCGATATCGAAAGAAACGATATTTCCTGGCTAATTTCGAAAGAAATAAAGCCCGATGATGCCTTCGTACCACATTGACTAATTTTTCGATCATTACATGTCTACATGGATTCATATTTCTAGAAATGTTTAATATTTGATACTGAATAAAAATTCACTAAAAAATCATCACTTCGATCTGCTTAAATTTACACGGCAACTCTGCTTTCAGCACTTCCATTATATTTTACCTGAGTGCATACGAATTTATTTGTTTGCTCGTAGTTGGCATCACTGTCGCAAGATCAAACTGTACATGAAGCCACATTGTACCACACACAAGCGTTTGTTGTACAGCACGCGCACTTCCCTTGGCCATCCGGCGTCATTAGACGCACGCTGTAACACCTAGCTTGAATACAAATCAAAGTGAAGGCAAAATGCTGGGTTACATTTTTCTTTTGATCAGGTAATGTGTGATATGAATAATCTACCTTTGGTAAGGTTAGCTAAATATGTTGTAACTAAACCAAATAAATGTTTAAAAAACAACTCAAAATTTACATACTATATATGTATATACTAATATTTATGTTATTAAATGCTGCAGAGGACCGATAGAAAGTAAAGAGGAAAACCATATAATATTGTACTCAACAAATATATGTAATTTAATATTTTTTTAAATATAAGTAATTATTTTTTAATATAAAATTTTACTACCGTTATGTATGTATGTACATATGTAGATATACTTACCTAATATTAAACTCACAGTTTCGTTTTTTACATTAAAAATCATTTCTTCAAAAATTATTAATTCGGTAAAGTCACCATATATTAACATACTTAAGTAGGTTCCTCCACTCATAAAAATCATTTGAAATCAGTCTAAATAATAATACTCACTAAAATAAATTAAAGTCAATTGTTAAAATTTTAAGAACATAAAACTGCAAGTGGCTCATATTAAGAGGCCTTCTGTAATTTAATGTTTGTTGAAATACTATTGGTACAATATTTCTATTTTTCTATCTTTTATTGTCTATAAGTTGAGTATTACATATTGTCTTCAAATCATTCGTGTTCACTACTCAAAAAACAAAATGTGATAATTTTAGAGTTCTGCACATATTTATACACATATGTACATCTAAACAAATTTATGTTATTTAAGAAACCAATTCCAGAAGCCCTGAAAAATGTCATCAAATCAAATCAAGTAAACAAATATGCTTGCATATTCCTACATATGTATATTTATATAAAATATACAAATATAAATATACTAAAGCTTTTATAGCTTTTTGTGTCCACCTTATCAATGTCTGAGGGTTAGCAATAAAAAGTAAAAAATGAACAAAATGACTTGAGTCAACAGTCTGATAACACAGCACTTTGACTTGCCTAACGCGGCCGCACAAATACACCAATGCTTGTTTACCCACGAGTACACTCCATTTTGCTGTTGTTTTACGACAGCCGAAAGAAGAAAATCCAAACTGCCAACTAAAGAAACAACAGCACATAAACGAAGCAATGCACATACACATACATACATATGTATATTGCTGTATTATTCTTTTTTGCCGGTGTCGGCTCACAGATTTGCAAAATTGTTTGTGTTTGCTACAGAATCACACTCATACATTTACAGCTGTATAACGATTTATTGTTATTCCCACCAGTTCTCACACCCCCCTTATAATAATGTGCTCCAAATGTAGATTTCAACTTATGACTTATCAAAAAGCTTTCGGTTATAAAAAAAAATCATTTAGAAAAAAATATCTATAAATGTATTTATGTAGATGTGTTAAAACAATAACAAAATTACACGATGCTTAAATAGTGAACACGAAGTAGTTTGCGGCGTACAATGAAATCGTCGTTAAAGTCTTTAACGTTAGAGTGTTGACGGATAACGATCACGACGCGAACAGCAAGATGTATAAAACGACGACCGAAATTACTTAGGTGAATGTTTCTAGACTACAACAGGTGTAATGAATATGCTTAGTATGTGAAAATATTTAGTTAAGATCTGGTACAATAGCTGTGAAATGGCAACCGAATAGAAACTACACACAAATGCTTGTCCGCCACTCGTGAATGCTCATAAATGAAAAATATCTAGTTCGAAATTGTTTGTGTGAACTATAAAATAAAATATTTAAATTAAATATTAATGAGTAATACTAAATGCATATGTATATTTATACATATATAGAAACGTATATTCTTATATACATATGTACATATAAATACGTTTATAAGCTTATATGGCAATATTTTAAATAACAATTAGTAAAACCACAAACGAATTCAGCCATTTTTGAAATAGGCGGGAAAATTTACTTCGAAATAAACTACACAATTTTACTTAGTATGTACGTAGGCTAAAGTATACAAACATACTCCTTTAAATATACATTTGTATGCATAAATATATTGTACATGTATGCACTATGGATATTTATATACATTATATATCATATGTATGTATGTATATGTAACTAAAAAGCAACTGTACAGGACATTTTGAGTTCCCAGCCATGTAAATGTGTATGGGTGTTTTTATGTAGGCTACTCATACATATCGCTTACCTACTGTTTGACATATTGATAAAAAACATTTCAAAATACTTGTTTTTATGAATTTATTTTTAACAAGATTTTCACTCCTTATCAAAAATTATTCATAGTCATGTATTTTTTAAAGTATACTTTTACTCATTCAAGCGAATGTTATTTGTATTTACAAATGTGTACTTATGGAGTATGTTTGTGAAGTAGCTACACTCCAAAGACCGCCAAAAAATATAATTTACAAAGCGGATACCTTCACACGTTGAATAACAACTTTGTTTGAATGGCTGTCCAACTGTCTCAAACACAAACGCAAAACGGTCTAGATAAGCAACAATGCAGGCGTTATTTTGCACCACGGCAGCTGTAACGTCCCGTATTGGTACAGTAAACAACTGATAAATGAACGAAATGAGAAAATATTTGTCGAAAAGCCGGTGAAGGCAAACGAATTTTTTCGGACAAATGAAAATTTTCGAAAAATATTATAAACTATTTTCTCGACTGTAGATAAAGTATAAATCTAGGGTCTTAGTTATAACAAATTGAAAAATATGGTAAAATGTTTGTTTAGAAGTTGTCGGAATTGAACAGGTTTTAAGAGATGGAGTTTATTTGTTAAGTCCAAAATAATTTAGGATCCTTGCGCTTGACACAAATTTTAAAAGACTCTGCGGTCTCACTGTCTATACCTCCTCCAATGTATCATACTGTGCGGACATACTGATTTTATTTCTATCATGCTCCTACAGTATCTTCTATCGAATGTCAATGAAAATGCTGTAAAAAGTCCGATCTTCCGTTTTGCAAATGACTTTTGCAGTGCTGCTTAACGGACAATTGTTGTATATTCTACAATTTGTTATTATTTATATTTTCGCACTCAAAACTTGCAATATTTCCAAAATATATGTATTTATCAACTTCGCGCTACTTTTTTTTTATTATTCAATCAAGAAGCTGCACATTTGTCGGAACGGCCGATAAAGGACAACTGGATCGAAGAAATTGTTCAGATCGGATAACTATAGCATATATGTATGTATGTAGCTGCCATACAAACTGAACGATCGGAATCAAATTCTTCAGAGAATCTTTTGTGTTTGGGAAGAATATTACAACTTCGATGCAATCAAAGTTTACGTTTTTTCTTGTTTTACATAGATTTATAGTAGTAGGGAGTAGTACTACATCAATGCAGCACACTTCCTTTCTAAATTATTTACAGTCCATTTAAAGCCTTCTTTGCGATTGTGCTTACTCAACCGGATTTACCGGAAGTAATAGCTCCGCTGTTTGCCCCTTATCCTCTCTTATCACTTCGCTGCCAACATATTCTGTTTATGTCACTTGACCTTTCATTCATTTCTCTTGCTCTTTTCTACTATTTATTCATAAAAATTTTAGTTGTGGGATTGCGTTTATTTTAAAAAGACTCTACTGTAACGTCTTCTTTTGCTTAATGAACATCAATATCCTTTCGCAAGCAATAACCTCACGATGTAGTGGAGAATTTCGTCAATTCGCCTTAATGCTCACTTGAATTCGATTGATGCCATCTCTTTGTACTCAATTTCGATTTTATTTTCAATATGCAATCATATTTGACGCCTAGCGAATACGCTACTAAATACAAATGAACTTAAAGGTATACATACATACTCACCGTTTTATATATTATCCATAAAGTACATATTTTAACATTGGATCACAGTTAAATGACTTTTCTGGCAGGCGTACAAGTGAATGTAGCACTGCTCCTACATTTTTTGCGCTCTTATATTTACATGCATACAAACATATCTACTTGTGAATAAATATGTTCATATGTATCTACAGTCGTTTGCAGTGCATTCGACTCACTTACGTGTATAAACGACATAAAGTGGTTTTAGTTAAATGTGGCAGGTCATATCATTCTACATCATTCTAAGCAGCGCTTCCCAAATTGCGGTGGCTCCTGGTGCTTTTGCAGATATCATGTTTAAAATGCTGTCAAATTAATTAAAATTTATATTTATAAACTACATAAATAAATTGCAAAATATTTGAATATTATGAACACTTTTTTATACATTTAAAATGCTCTTTACAATTCCTGACGTTCCTTACTCTTAAATACTGCTCATTAAACTGAAGCGACCCGGCGTTGCAAACCACTGTCATGTGCCACCAAATCTGCAAATAACTTCATATCTACAAAAGTGCCATCACAACGACTCCCCAACAACGCTACAGCTGCCGTGTAGCCAAACGAACAACACAGTGCTGTAAATATCGTGCTTGAATTGTGTGCTTTTTGTAGAGTACACAACAAATAGTGAGACCAACACCAAAGAACAAGCACGCCATTCTACCAACCCAAAACACCGCACCACCCAATCCGCAATGCTTCATACAAATAATATATGTGTGTATGTCCATATACTGATTCATATACCGGCTCATGGCCACAACGGCCCACTATTCGACGCAGCGTCAGTTCCGCCGACACACCGTTCGTGTCACCGACGGTACGAACAGCGAAATAACCAATTGTGACATATGCATGTACCTAAATATGTATCTACAACTGTCTGTATGTATGTACACCTAACGTCAGCTAGGCGTATGGACGCACACCAAAAGCAACATAATCCCCGCCACCGCACCAAACACTCTTGCTACCCTTGGAATGCTAGCGCAACGATAGAAGCAATTTTCAAATTTACCGCCAAACGACACTACATTGAACTATGCGGCGACTGTACTCACGAAACCCAAGCAGCATTTGTATGGAATTACTCAAGAAACCCTCTAAACGTGTCACCAGCGTTCGCACGTTTGTTTGCAGAATTTTTTAATTTATTTCAAAAAATAGCTAACTTTTTCCACTAACGATTGATATAACTTTCAAATCGGTTGAAATAAGGGTTTCAGCGTATAAATTCGTTAAAGTTTTAGCTGGCATTGGGGCACGCATTATGCGGACCCATCAATGGGGAACACATCAGCTTTGCTGTGGAGCAGACGCTTTCAGTCGCAAACTGACGCTCAACGAGTACACATCTCGGTGGTTGAAAATACCTAGAAAACGAAAAACGCTTACAATAAATAAAATACATATAAGCAATATAAAACAAGCAAGCAGCACAACAGCAAAAGCCAGAGCTAACTACCTAAGCGCTTTTTCTGTTGAAAACTGCCAGCCAGTCAGCCTGCCCGATTGATTGTATAGTCGTCAGCCGCCATACAGCGTGCACATTTCCGAAGCAAACAATAAAATAATAAAGTATCTATCATCTGCCTACCTATAGCACGCTAGCTAGTGTTTGCTCCATACACTCGCCCTGCTTTTACATTAGAGCGATAGAGAAGGCAAGCGTCGTCATTACTTGTACGTACTGTTTTCGTCCTTGCTGTTCCACCGCATTCTTTCTATCACATCGTACGCCTTCGGCTGTACAACGAACATTTAGATACATACGTTGTTGTTTGTTGTTGTTGGTTGTGTGGTTCGACTGTAGATACAGATACATTTACGTATAAAGTATCTACGTATTGCGAACAGAACAGCTCAGCTCAGCACAGAGTACCGCTGAAATAACATTCAGAAGTTAAATACACACCGCAAACGACAGTCTCGAACAGTGTGTCTGTGTGCTTCGTACCGAGTGGATCGTCAAAGCAAATTGTACGCGTCTTGTGTTTAATAAAGCAAATAAAATAAATTTGTAAAAATACATAAAAATAACCGCGAACGCAGTTATATAAGTTACAAAAAACTAATATAAAATATATTAATTATATTTAAAAACACAAACTACACAGAACAAATCAGAGAAAATGTCAGCAGCCACAGAACAGCAAAATAACGGTGATGTCGCTGTTGAGAAAGTTGCCGCCGATGCCGTCGATGCGGCAGCAGCCGTGAAGGAAGATCTCAAAAAGCCTGCCGTCGATGAAACAGTTGCGGCCGCCGATAATGGCACAGCGACAAAAGGTGACGATGAGGAAGCCAACGATGCCGCCGCACCCGTCAAGGGACAAGTGAAAGGAACAAAACGGCCCGCCGAAGTAAGTACTTTTCATACATTTTAATATTTTATTTAAACAATTAGCTCACAATCAGGATGCGTAAGGATATACGTATTTTAAAGCGACCACCGCTTGTTAACCTTCTGTTCAGCCAAGTAACAAATTAATTAGTGCTAAATTTGTGCGCTGCCTTAACTCTACGTAAACTAGGCTAACTTCTTGCGTATGCTTGTGCAGCGTCAAGTGTGCCGACAAGTATGTATTCTCCCCATACACGCATACATATCTACATGTATGCTGAGAAATCAAAATGTTGTGTAGATAACGCTGGGGGGCGAAAAGGTGTCGAAAGTTGCAGAGAGGATAAGAGATTTTGACAAGCGATTTGACAGTAGCACCATTAATATTTTCGCGCCTGTTTATTTTGTCGTGCTCCGTTTATGGAGCAATTGCAACATAAACAAAATGTTATCGAAAAGCATTTCAAGAGGTATTTTTGCCCTAGAATTGTTGAGAAACTTAAGCAAATTGCACGATTTCACAGTACAGTCAGACAGTCAGTGTAGCGCATGGACGCCTTTGAGTTATACACAAATTTTTCGTATTATAGGCGTTTTACTATGCGGGCGCACATTTTCTTTATTATTAAATATAAAATTCGCTTTTATAATAATTTCAAAGGTATCGCTATTGCTACAGTACATGTATATTGTATTACATTATTTATTACATATACAGGCATTAAATTAAGACATTGCGTTTTATTTTTCTTAATTTCCACACCTTAATGTCTTAATTGGCTGATTCATGCTGTAAGCGTTTTCATATTTCTCGCATGTGTCTGACTTTGCGGCTGGTATAGTACGCAATAAAAGGCGAGAAATGCAAAACATTTTCACCACACATACTCGATTGACTATACACATACCTGCATGTACCGCAATTCGCGTGATAATTTCCCACACGTTTGATAAAACATAAATATTTCACACAGTGTGTAATAATTGAATGAAAAAATTCGTTAGAAATTTCTAGAAGGAAATGCGAACGTGTGCAGGAGCAGCGGCGTATATTGGCGCTCTTAGATGATGTTGGCTTTACAAATTGGCATTACAATAGCTGAAAAACAGACAGAGGCAGGAAATTGCATGTAATCCTGGAGCTACATACATATTTCCATATACACGACAGTGTGTGTGTGCATGTGAATTCAAGCGCGCGCATTTTATCTGACATCAGTATTCCACTGCTGCTCTCATGTTTATTTTATGCTCTCCAAAACAACCGACTCCTATATGTACATTCTCTCGTAACGTCGTTACATGTGTAGGCTCTCAGCGCTTGTCAAAAGCATGTTTTGTATATTTAATGACTCCTTCCAACGCACATATACTTTTTGACCTTTGTTGTTGCGCCTTTTTCCATTCCTTTTTTTTTTTTTTTTTTTTTTTTTTTTTTTTTTTTTTTTTTTTTTTTTTTTTTTTTTTGGTTTTTGGGACAAACTGCAGGACGATTTGTATGTGCTACAGTTTTAGCGGTCGAATGATGGTCGTTTGGGTGGTATTTGAACACCCTCGTTTTTTTTCCTAGGCAACAATTATGCTTAGTACATAAAACATTTCAGTGCCATACAGCCTTGTTGAAATGAATCATTGATTATTTATTATTGCTTAAACACAAAAATCCTAAATATAAACTTAGCTAAGGTTTATTTACCACACAAAAGTATTTTTGATAAGCAAATGGCGATAATAGCGCTTCGGCGCTTAGTTTATATTGTGGAGGCGTGCTGATAAAAATCAATATTTTCTCCGACTCTACAGCTAATAGTCCTCATATACTCAGGCGCGCAATTGCAGCACTTCTGTGACCCTTTGCTCCTACTTTCGACTCCGTTTTGCTGCTTGTTGCTCGAAATTATTTTATCTTGCTTCTGCATTGTGTTGGTAGTGTACATTACAGGATATAGTAAGCTCTCGTAGCTTTTATTACAGCGCGTGTTGTTAGACGCGCGCATGAGAACCATATACGATGAAAGCTTGCGTGCGAAATTCTTTACTGGGATTGGAGTAGTTCATTAAATCTACGTGTGTTGAGCACTAACTAAATAAATTTATTAGTTTAGTTTTCTAAGTTTAAGTGTCTTTCGAGGCTTTTCCACATTTTCCAGCTTAGAGTAGAGCACTTCCGTTTTTAGTGATCACAATGTTATTGAGCGAAAGGCGCATGTACGCATCTTTTATAATTGAGTACAGTAAATGTCTTTGCTTACTCTCTTTACTTTTCTTTGACTTTCTTTACTACAATGCAGCTGGATTTCAAAGAAAGTTGCTGCATTTAAAAAGTAACCGCTTGTATTAGTTTTTTCGACGTTTCTGTACCTTCACCACAACCCCTGAGCTAAACAAACAAGCATTGTGTCGTTTTTGTAACTACCAAAAGCAGCAAAAATACAGTTTGTATTCAGGTTTGCCGGCCGGCGTAACGGGTGTGCGGTGTTATGACCGATTATGTTGCTTCTTACACATACAACATGCATAAATATTATATTTTCACAATTGACAATTTAATTATATGTTATTTAATATTTAATTAGCACGTTCGCATTAATTATTTTAAAACCAAAATTTTTGTTGTTGTATGTATTTGAAAAGAAATATTTAGATTATTTTGAAGAGCAATGCTTTTATGCAATCACTTTCGTATTAATTTTTATAACCGCAAAATACTGGAAACAAAATCAATATAAATTTGAGATAATTACTCCACAACGACCACAACAACCTTTCATGACATCTCACATGTTTCTTTCTTTTCGATTTATGTACTTGATAAGCCTATTAGTTAGCGCTCTAATCTTATTCTTTTTTTTTAGTGTTTTTCTACTTACCTGTAATGCCTTTCATCATTTTCTGAGCACGCATAGCGAGTATTTTTATTCTCTGCCACGCTCTCGTGCTTGTGCTTCGCATTTATTTCATAGATACACTTGTTTACTTCATTAATGTACATATATACAAAGTA